CAGCATGACGTGTGGTCTTAGGAGGATATTCTAGGATTTTTGATTATTTCAAACAAATTCGTATATTCGCATATTAGTAATTCGTTTGGAATCTCCTGTAAAATAAGTATAAATTCAGAAAGTAAAGTTTCAAACGGCTCAAAAGCTTTTTTCGAGACAGAATTATTTGCAAAAGGGAGCACTTGATAAACTATACAGAAAGTTGAAAGCTTTTGAGGCCATGTATTTGCAGTGTAGTCAATTGAATTGAAAGTGATACCAATTATTTCCTTTTCTTAGTGCATTGGATCTTGACAACACATTTTTGTTTAAAATTGAATTGGAATTTATATCACAATAATTGACTAAAGTTATATTTTTGCTGCGAAAGTATTACAGATTAAATATCGGCTTTCTGAACTAAAAAAAATTCCTGCTGGAAACGGGGTATGCTGAAAAAAAAAATATGCAATTTTGCATTCAGTGCTTAATTATTCAAATTCAGTTGAAGAGAATACTTTACTACAGCATTCTTCTTCAGAGTCTTGTCTGTCAGCTCAAAGGTCTCAATCAGGGAAAAATGTTAGGTGGTTAATTTTTGAAGTCGGTACTCGCAACTTTCTTCTTAATGATTTATTCATATTAGTTCCTGTCGGTTTTATCAAATCAAATGTTCTTTCAGATGTTAATAATCAATAGTCTTTCGTCTAATTAAATAGTCTAAATCCAGTACTTTTGAGCATTACATGTTGTGCAATGGTTTTATATTCGATTAACAAATTATCCGGCAATGTTTTGAAATTTGTTATTTAACTTTCTCAAATTGTGTTATTCGAAATATTATCAATACTGTGAGAACTGACAAAAGACGAATTAATATTACCTACTGCATGCGTGGTGGAATAAAAAAACTTTGATGGCATGTATTTCTGAATTTAAATTGAAACGTGCAACATTAATATTTCTCCAATATGTTATGACTCGGCGTAAGTTACGACTTAGGACGTAAGCAATAATGATCAATAACTTTTGTGTCACCAAAAGTTGACCTTTCAAGATGAGCATCATTCATCAAAGTTGTTATGGCCAGTAGTATTGACACACTACAAATGATACTTGAGTCATATTTAAGAAATAATTAATTGCGATCCATGAAGTTGGCAGAATAACATTGAACATGGAGAAAACACGTTTTATCCGCATTTAGATTTAAATGAAATAACGTTTCCCCCTTGGTGTAAACGCAACGATTATTGTAAGTAGTTTCCCAGACCAATTTACAAAGTTGCCGCTGTAATTACCGTTTGCAAAAAGCGCAATCATTCTAATCAACGCAAATCCAACCGCTGTTTGAAACTCAAAGAATTCCCATTCCAATCAATTACTACTACGACTTAATAAAAAAAATGAAACTGTATATTCATCTTGTAGATGTTCAGCTTGTCACCACCTCTTTACATAAGAGAGTACCGCTGTCTGCCACACATGCGGGGGAAATATTTGAATAACATTTAATTAGATAGAATTAACAATAAAGACGATTCTCATTGTTAATGTGCAGTATGTTCGAGTCCGTCGGTATGCTGACGATGAACAGCAATTTCTCTTTGGGAATTAGGATGCCGACAGAAATCAGTGGCGTTCAGTAAAGTAATTTCAAAGAATACTGTTAGAATCCTAAATTAAGCTGAATAATCATTACATTTTGCCACTCGAAAATTGAGCTGCAAAATTTACTTTCGCAGTGGAAGAAAAACAATTGAAACAACAGAGTTACAGCGTACCAAGATCTGAAAACTTTAGACTTTTTTTAAACCTGGTTTTTTGCGAGGTTGATATTATGTGATTCTCTTCACGAGAAATACGATTTCTGCTTATTCTAACTTCGTAATCTCAGACGACGACTTCAAGCAGATTCATTAACTTTTACATAGCAAGTAAGTTCGATGATTGTAAAAGGTGAAACTAGTCAACTAAAATAAAGTAAGACTCTTAAACTAGAATAAGCCTAGACTAATAGATTTTTCAAATCAAACAATATTTTATGTAATCGATTGTTTATGGAATACCCACACTCTATATTAAATAAAAATCTAGATTGATTGGGGTTTCTTCATTGTGTACACATCTGCTTCTTCCCTTCTTAATAGATTTTTGTTTATAAATAACTTCAACATATAAAAATGTATACTAAAAAAGCAGTTGGTCCGAAAACCGTTTTCTCTACCAGTTGAGGAAAGTTTCGGTTAAAGCCATTAAATTCTCCGGAAAATCTGTCCATATCGGGTTTTCCGAATATTCAAAATGTGGATCGGAAAAGATGGTCTCAAAAGCTGGTTTGGAAATAAACCTGCATTAAAAAGCCTTAAATTTTTTGGAAAGTAACAGTATCTAAGGACAGCTCTTTTAATCTTTTTCTTGATAAATTAATTATAACATAATAGGGTTTTTACATATACAAATATGTCTCAGGTTAAAAACAATAATGAGTCTAGTTGAGAATTTGCTATTGAAATCCGGATAATTATGTATAATATCAAAATTCTTTCATCAAACAACAGCGGAATTTTGTTCGAAATATGTGAGATCTTATACTTAATTTTTGTGAAAAGAAACAGCAGGTTAACACATTTACTTGACAGTTTATAAAATGTTACTTTTTGGAGTCAACATTGAAGAATTATGTTCTAAAGTTTGGCAGTACCGGCGATTATTCCTGATGCAAAAAATCGTTCTTAAGTTAGGTATTTTCTTCCATACTTGTTTTGATTTAGTATTGGAGCGCCACTGTACCACAAAATGCTCATTTTTGTGCGAGACCATGATGAGACCATGAAGATCGTCGCGACATGGTCGGCAAAAAAAGCCTCTAAAGAAATCTTGCTTGGCAGCATGGAATTGGACATTCAGCATGACTCTGCTATATTTAATAACAAACTAAATTAAACAGCCATCCGATTGCAGACCCCAGAAGGGTTTTGTTAGAAATCTGGACACTAAACAAAAAAAAGGAGATGTTGCTGCTCTTTCGCCATGGCAATTTTCCAGCTGCTGAGCATTTGAACACTCTCCCTCTTTAGTGGAGCTCAAAGCTTTACTGGCGCCTCAAATGCCATTTCACTTATCGCGTAAGCTATTAAAGACACACATTGAAAATAAATGGTTCTTCGTTTGCATATTGGCACACTTGATACTGATGATAATCAGTCATACAAACGAGTTATAAAAGTACGTCAGTATGTGGATTATTTGTTTTAACCAACATTGCAATTTTCCCACATAATTTATTAAATAAATGTTTGGCATTAATGATAACTAAGTTAGACAGTATGTGCAATATCTCCAGGCAAATCCGCAACTGAAAAAATGTGAAACGCAATAATTCATTTGATTTCAACAGGAAAATATGTCGCGCAATTCTTTGAGTAGGTTCATGTGTGAAAACTCATGAATCTTTGAAAAGCTACACGCTTTCTCGTCAGAAATAATGAAGAGGGTGAAAGTTTAATTCGCTCAATATAATGATAGTGAATTTACTTAAATCGCAGGTACTGTCTGTAGCACTAACTGATTTGTGAAATTATTATGTAGATGGATGGACTTGAAAACAAAATAAAAATTAAGAAAATCCATAGCATTGGTTTTCCAGTTTTGTAAGTTGCAGGTCACTTGGTCACAGGTAGTAAAGTAACTACTTTATCAGAGTTGTTACTTGTTAACTTAGAACAGATTATTAATCCTGTATTAATCAAAGCCTTGTAAAAGCGCAACTGGAAGTTGTAATTTTCTGAACTAGAGCCGGAAGAGTTGCTTTTTCATCCATTGATATTATAATATTAATTGTTGAGGGCAACATGAAAAATAATGTATAGCTTTTGATCTTCAATTTCAAAAATTAAATTATCAAATCGTTCTTTGACTAACATTTGCCAACTACGTGACACATTTAATCTAACAGTCCAATAATTGATGAGACTGGATATAAGTAAATATTAAGACAGAAACTAATACCATTATTTCAGATAGCATGCATCACATGGAAAGTGTGCCATACCCACATCTATTAGCCGTTGCTAGTATTAGAAGAAATCAAAACAAAAATAGGCAAATAAAAGAATGAGTGCAAAGCCAAAAAGCGATAGCAAACTTAATATTTTCATGTCGCGTGAATGAACACATTACGAACACGAAAATATCAAGTTGCTGGAAAGCATTAGTGATGGTTAAAACAATAAAAACTTACTGCCATTAGACGAAATTTCATGCGCATTCGAAACTGAAAGATAAAATGAAAAACAATTATTAATCATGATCACAATTAATAACAGTAAATATATGATTTTATATGATGTAGTTTAGAGGTTTTATCTCGGAAAGAACCACTTTATTAGCCTAGTATATAATATTTGTTGTTTGATCTTATTATTCTTTATTGTTATTGGTTGAATAAAATCCAAAATTGTATCAAATTGAGGCAGGGCATTGGACCGTTTTATGCCGAATTAGTTGTAAATTACTTTTTAGTACCCACAGTCTCATTCAAAACTTACACATTAGTAAAATGTCGGCAATAATGGAATCAGTTACTGCGCTGAGTGAAATATTATGTCAGTTATTAAAACGGTCAGATAATGCAAACGAGCTCAATAAACTTGTAAGAACTTGTCTGCTTCAGTTGAGTTAAGAACCAGTTTTTTTATCAAAGACATATCTAGACACTCTTTTCCATATTAGTGGAAAGTCACACGTGAAACAATAAATCTGGTTTCCATACCGGATATTGCCAGAATTAAATTAATTTTAACACAGTCACTGGTTTTAATGTTTAAAAAATGTGGATCGAAGGCTTTCTTATTATAAAAGTGCTTCAAACCCGTCGCAGTCAAAATGTCTCAAAAGACAACTAATTATTTTAAGTAGAATAATATTTAAAATCATTTGGAGGCAATTAATCATCTACATCGGCTACTCTATCTATTATATTAAATCTATGTCCATATCGGAAATGCCGAAAGTTGTGTAATTCTACACTCATTTTCATATTTGGGTTACACATTTTCTGTTAACAAATAAAATGTAGATATACGAAATTTATTAGTCTGTAAGGCTTACTTCTCCAGTTCTAGCATAAAAGCGGTTTGTACTTAAGTAATACCACAACAGCTTTCTTGCTAAGTTTCAAATTAATAAAAAATCAATTTGGTAAAAGCAATAACTTGTGGGAAATGAAACACGCGAATTGAGGCGGTTCTAGACGAACACCGTTTAGGAGGATATTGTTTTTTTTTGCAGAGATTATTTCAGGAATTAATTATTTGCGATTGTATGAGCATATTTATCACTACTGGTGAATTTTCATTTTCTTAAGAGTCATTCCCTGCAAAGTATTCCAGGAACATAAATTATATGGTTTTCAATGCATAAAGTGTGAACTTGTCATATAGTAAATTAAAATTGCTTTTACGAGATCATCAGATATAATTTTAACATCTTTTCGAACTGCGGAGAGCACTTGAGTTCTGTATTTAGTATTTAAGATTCCAACGATTGTTTACAGTTTTGTCCTGTTTCATTAAGTATTTGTAATAACATTTATATTTATGTGATGAACAAATGTTGAAATATGTGAGCTGAGTTTATTTCAATTTCCCATTACATAGAACGCGCTGACTTAAAGACACTAACAAAAGCACCAATGCCTTTCATAACTATGCATGAAATATATTTATTTTGCTACACTTAAGCAGTACTATATTTTGTGAATGATGCGGATACCATTGAAATATTGTTGAGTTATTGGCACAAAATCACACATTGGATTACTATGACAAACTTATAATATTCAAGAATTAGGAAGTTACTAGGACGTTTGTTAACGTGAATTCTAATGGATGAGGTTGTTTGTTAAACAAATTAGAAAATTCTCAAATAACAGATAAGTAGACTAATATCATATGGTGTACATTTATAGGTTGTCGTATATTATTTGTGCCTATTATTGAAACATACATTTTCTAAGTGCTTGTGGTTTTGGTTTAAGATAAAAAAAATCTGTCACGGGAAAACTTGAAATAAGTCTTATTAATAGATATGTAGCAATTCTAAATTAATTAATTAAGTTCCATACTAATTAAAAATAATTCGATTTGTCATGTACAAAAAAGCATGTAAAACCTTTATCTGATCCATCTGCCCGACGTTTCTCAACCGAGAAGCAATTAATTAAGCTTCTCATCATATTCAAGGTTACTATTAAGACACTGAATCAAAATATTTTTCCTGTGTTGGCTGTGGAAAAACTCAAGCGATCATTAACGATTCGTTTGCTTTTTTGCAGTTTTTTTTTCGTTTCAGTTCGTTTGAATACTTAGTAAATTATTGAAAATTTCTATTAATTAAACACTGTAATTATGGATTTTACATGGCTGAAACACCATTAAAAATTGTGAAATCAGCCGGTTTGTGGTAGCTGTTGATAAATAACCAACCATGGAGTGAAGTAGGTCAGTGTCGCATATTTACTTGTTGAAAATAGGCAAATTTTATTGATGCAAGTCGTAAATAAGATTAATATAGGTATTAACAGATGTTCTATAATTACGGCTTAAATGTATATTCATTTCGTTCATGTTTTTCTTTGTGAATTCGCTATATTCTTTAAATCGAAAATTTTCTGCTGGAATAAAAGAATAAACTGTAGTTAAAAATGCTGTAAGGAGCATACTTCAAAATTTATTGTGGGTTGTCTAAGCCAATCAGCACATAATTCAGCTTGTACATTTGGTGTGTTCATGCAAGACGCTGCCTTAAGAGATAATTGAAATGGAATATGAACAAATAAAACTCACTTGTACTAAAGTTTACTGATCTTGGCGACGTCATGAATGGTTATTTTGCCAATTAGCAGCCCAGACAACCGACATTAAGCCTTGAAATTGAATTGACTACGTTATTACCTTTTTAAAGTCCACTTGAATATTTTAATTAAATAGGATGTGTAGGCGCCTGTTTTGGAACCAATTGGCAATCATAATATTCAGCTGAACAATTTTAAGGGTTATTGTAATGTCTTCCAGCACATCCGCTAAATTATATTTTATTTTCTGTTACGATTGCTGTTACATTCTCAGTTACTCAATGCTGAAATAAAACAGGATAAACCGACCTACGCCACTGCAATATTTATTAAATTAGCAATTTTGAAGGATACGATCTCAAGTGAGAATAACTTCATATTAGATATATCGGCAATAAGCTCGCAAAGCTGAGAACAAGCTGAATGTTTTAACATATTTCAATAGCGGTTAGTTCCACACAAACGAAACCGAGAAATCAATTTTCCCACATGTATGAAATGGCTTTGATAGTATTTGGGATTCAATATTTTTTCTCAACGGCAATTTAGAACTGCTTAACATCTTCGACAACAATGGGACGAGCCAAAATACCCCAACAGCGGTCACAACAAGGTACAAATTTATAAATCGCCGGCCATTTAGCAAATAAAGGATAATAAATTGGAGGTACTTAAGGAGGTATTGTGCGGTCGAAATTCTAGAGCTAATTTGCGTCTATCGTGCTTGAGAAATCTCTTCGACCTGTGGGGTAGCATATCGAATGTTCGGACGTTTCTGACGGGTTTGGGAAGGTCACAATCGGTGATCTAGCAAATAACTGCTTCGTCTGCGCCTTATAACGACAAGGTGATGAATTCGATGCTGTCGATTCGAACAAATTAGCATAATTTGATTCCTCTGCGTAAAAAATGTATAAATATTTCGATAATGCAGCAACATCTATCATTGAGCATTCTTCATCTGTAAAATTCAAGGAGCATTGTCAGACATTTTCAAAAATCCAAAAAACAATCCATGCAGGTTGCAATTAAACTTAAAAAGTTTACACGTTTTTTGATAAACTCCGTACTACAATTTTTTTCCATGAAAACTACGTACTTGATCAGCCAATAAAATATTTTTATTTTTCATTGCATCACCGAAAACCTTCTACATTCAAAATGGGTTTGAAGACATTTCATGCATTTTATTTTTACCTTTAATAGTTTTTGAAATACCTAATCAACTTTTATTAGAATATATAAATGAACCTATATGGTCAAGGCTCAAATGTGACTCTTGTTATTTAATGTTTTAATTTAAAATATCATCGCGCTACTCTAATTATATGAATTAATTTCAATTTAGTCAACAGAGTTACGTGGTTCATTGGTCACAGAATTTCAAAATTGTTAGTTAAGCGTGCAGAAAACTTAGAATATGTAGAAAAATTATGCTTCGGCAGTTTAAAAGTTTACGTTTTAAAGCTTTTCTAAATCATAAAACATCGGGGACATTGAAGCTAAAAATCACAAGTCTTGTAAAGTTATCACATTTTTTAATACTTCAATATAAAAACAAAACATTCCTTTCAGTGAGTTCTAGCTGTTCTCTAATGAAAATTAATCAATTTCTTAGTAATATTCCATTTGAAAAGGAAGGTAATTTTCACAACGAAATATTGTGTGTGTGAAGGAATGGTAAGTTAATTTTCGTAAATCTTATTGCCTAAATTGGTAGAACAGAATAAATATTTTTTATTGTTCATACTATTAAAATGCAGTTCTTGTACTTAATTTTATACATCACTAAAAATTGCTTAGTCAGTTGCAGAGAATCGGGCACAACGGTGAAAGTTAGAACTGGTCTATTTGGAAATACTGACGAAATAAAATTTAATAATTAAGAGCACAAAGGGCAAAGAATGGATTAAGGCAAATTACAAAATTATTTACAAAAAGTAGAAAATGTATTAATCTGTTTCACTAGTTTTAATTGAATCGGTAATTTAACCTGCAGAAAGAGCCGGAATATACATTAAATAAGCCGGAATAAGTTTCGAAGGCTTCGAACAACACAAAGGAAGTTTTCTTACACTGTTGAATTTTATTGTATTAAACTATACTTTTTAATTTTCAATCATAAAAGCTTTAAAACTGCTTCATCTCGCGTTACATAAACGATAACTGTTAATGTTTTATTAATCCTCATCACTTCCATCCTGTTTGTAGCACGATACAGATCTATTAGCACAGACAAGATGAAATATTGTCTTTGAAATGAGCAACTAATGAAATTCAACAAATGGATTTGTTACTGGAACTAAATAGCAAACAAAATGTTTCCGTAGGTTTGACACATAGGTAGAACAATTTCTTGAACGTTCATATGAAAATCTTCAAATTACGTTAACTCGGAAAGAATCTGTTAAATCCAAATT